AAGTTTACATGCTAGTTCTAAAATTGGCATGAAAATGCAGACACCAGCCATTCCCTTCCTGCTGTTTACCCAAGGTAAGTGCAGTGGTGTCCGCACCTAGTGTGCACATGGTGCTTATAGCGGCTGTGTCTGTGCAGTCAAACGCCGGAGACAATCAAAACGCCCATCACCACGCAAACGGAGAAACAGACATGCGCTTTCCACACAAATAAAAAAGAACAAACTACTGGCACACACAACAACATAGGTGCACGGCAAGTGTATGTATTTCTTTTTATTTCTTCCGAGAGCACATAAACATGAGATGAGATGCTTTTAGAAGTTAAAAACGAAACCCATCCAGGGTTACTATACAAAACTGTCTGTCACCGAAAATGCCCATGTTACTTTTATGTTACTTCCTTAAATCTTAGCCTGAAGTTTTATTTAAAAACACTAAATTAACATTTATGATCTTTTTCTAAGTTGATAAATATTATTAAACATATTTTTCTGTGTGCTACTATAATGACAAATTTGTCTATGTGTCTGTTAAAAATCCACTTTTATTCAAAAGAGTTTCACTTACAGACTGGATTAGTTATATTTCTTGTGAAAAGCTGTGGTGTTAGAACATATCCACACCGGGAAGAAATGGGTAACTGAATCACCACGTTACTAAAATAACTTTCCACGAGCCGAGATGGTAGCAGACACAACTGGACCAAGGGTCGCTGACTCTCCCAGGGCTGAGAGCGCGAGAGCTCCCCACCAGCCCATCCCGCCTGCGGTGATGGCCCACGTGGGGCCTCCTTGCAGAGGGGAGCAGGCCTGGGAAGCCTCCTGAACATCCACCCCGAGTTCCAGGTCTGTCCTGCAGAGCCGTGTGGCTGTGACTTACCCACGAGATGATAGTTTCTACACCCCAAAGCCACGTAATCCAAAAATAAAAGTTGAGGTTTATTGGCCAAAGTCTCCTTTTCCGAATCTTTCATCAGGATTTCCACCCCAAATGAATGGAACACGTACATATGGGGAAATGATTCTGAGTTTAAAAGAACTCGGGGTTTAGTGAATGAGTCATTCAATTGTTGGCAACTGTGTTTTCCTGATCTATTGTAAATGATGATAAATTTGGTGACACACGACACTGAATTCCAATTATTCTTCAAACCAGGACTAAGAGGCCTGATAAACCTGAAAATAGATTTTAAAAACAGGCAAATGCTTACTCTGACTGAATTGCTCATACAAGTGAAAACAGGAGAGAGGTTTTCAAATTGTTAAGTTTACCCACAAGTACATCAGCACTTGCAACGGGAACGGCACTGCACAGCCACTCTGTGCACCCAGGTAATCCACGCTACAGAGCCCGACTGTTGCTGCCATAACGACGTTTACGCTCCTTTTTTCCCCCGTGTTTTGTTTTTACATTTTACTTATCTTCTCTCCAGTGACTGTGGATGATTATAGCAACATCAAGAGAATTCGCTGTCAGTGAGCCTTTGAGAGTAGCATTCTTCCCAGATGCCATCGCTCGAAAGAAGCCATTTCCTTCAATTACAGACACAAGTTCCTTACTTTTTCTTACAAAATAAAACTGCCTCACTTCTTGTATAACTTTGGAGGCAGGGAGGGGGGAGACTATTTCCCAACCCAGTTTCTTTTGCAGTCCCCCCTCAACGTTTCACGAGTGGCGTGGCAGAATGCTGCCCTACCTGTCCAGGATGCCGCAGGTGTCGATGTGAAGGTCGCTGAAGCTGCCCAGGGTGCCCTGCTGCACGGAGATCAGGTCCACGTCCTGGCCGCTGATGGAGATGAGCCGCAGGCATCCCTGGAATCCGCCTGCTGTGTGCTCACAGCCAAGCCCGGAGCTGCGAGGGAGGCAGCCTGAGGGTTCCACACAGGAGGCAAGAGAGCATGGTGAGGGGACACGGCACTGCACGGTGCCACCTCCTGCCCAGACACCGTGTTTAGATTTCCTGCCACTCATGAGAAGGCCTCTGCTCACCACGGGGAGAGTGAAAGGTCAGCAGAACACAAAGTAACCCTGGAATCAGGAATGTAAGGAAGATGGACATACGTTAGGATTTAAAATTCACTGAATTCAAAGCCTGAATTTTTAAGTACACTAGAAAATTTAACTCCTTTTATCATTATGAATATTAAGTGAAAAAATCAGATGCACACGGATTTAAAATTAGAAATGAAATAACAGGTTTTATTATTATATGTAAGAATTGCTGAAAGTGTAGACTGGGAAGAGTCTTATTAAGCCTGCGTGTGCCAGGGCGCAGTTGCGGGTGTGCGCCAGGGCGCAGTCGTGGGCGTGCGCCAGGGCGCAGTCGTGGGCATGCTCACGTCCCGTGGTCCTGAAGACTCGCGTAAGCAGAAGAAGGAAAATGCACATTTGCTTTTATAACAATCATTTTTGTCTTAGATGATTTAGTCAAACATATAACCAAAAGCTAAATTTTGACATTAACATCTTAATACATTAAAAAGTGACTCTTCATGCAATAGCAAGTGCACTGTACAGAAAAACCACCCTATATAATCTGCTGTATAAAAAGGATGTGAACATTTGGGTCACCCCCAAAGTTAGACCACCATCATTTACCCAACCATGTAGAGGTCTCTGTGCAGTGGCTCCTGGGCCGTGCCCTTGCAGGGTCACATCGGATCACTGCTCTCAGAAGTGCCACATGAGTTGCAGCATCACAGCACCTTGTGCAGGGGCTCTGTCCCTCCACACAGCAGGAGCCACTACTGCAGTAGGAGGATCTGTGCTCCCAGGTGGCTGCAGGACAGGAGGTGCTCAGAGTGGCCGGGGACTGTGGGGAGCAGGGCGCCCCAAGCACATCTTTGTGTTTACTTAATTACCACTAAATGCAAGTGAGCACACGCGTGCAGCATTCCTATTGTTTAATGCCAAACACTTTTGCACTGATTTTGTTTTGTGACCTTGCCTTTTATACCTACTATTCATCTCGTGAGATAACGCCTCACTAATCTCTAGCCCAGAGCATCATTCTTCCCTAATTATGACTAAAACAGATTGATAATTGTTTTAAATTTAGGAAATCTACCAATTATCCAAATAGTAAAAATTATCACATTATATTACTATTTAAAATGTAGGTTGAGGTGTTATGACCATCTGAAGATATATTTTGACAAACTGAAATAGTTTTGTTAAGCATGGAGTTCACTCATTAAATTTAAGTTCTTACTTTTTAAGAGGTGTCCTGCTGCTCTGTGTGAATAATCGGTGACAAATGTCAAAGAACTGGTGATTACAAAAATGCGGCCTCTTGAGTCCTGCGTGATGCGTACTGATTTCCCATGGTAACTGCATGTTTAGTCTTCGCTCAGGCTTTAATAATAGTTATAACTATTCAATACTTTCTCTTTCCAATAATTTACATTAATGACAAATGCAAGCGTGTGTGTATATCTCCAGCTGTTATAAAGCACATTAAAATGCTATATACTAGCCATGTGGAAATGTTAAGTTTCAAATTAAAAATTATGTCACAAAAATCTATTCAGCCTCTGAAGCCTTCATCCATCATTTTCTTATTTTAAGAGTAACACACACAGTTCAAACAGCTAAGTGCCCACAGAAAACTGCACATAGTAAGCCTGGGTTAGCTCTGTAGATGAGATCCACTTTATCTCTTACCATTTACTATATTAGGGCTGAACAGATATTAATGCAATAAAAAATTTTTGAGCAACCATTATATTCCAGAAATAGGGTTAGAACTATTTTGCTAATCTCCCTTTCTCATAAAATATTATTATTTAATTCTTTCAGAACAAAATAGATTCTGAAACTTTGACAAAAGTGGAGACAGCAGCCAGAGAGGGAGTCACGTGGCTTCCCAGAGACACGCACATGTGGCTACAGACCTCAGCAAAGAAAGAGCCGAGGGACCGAGACAGGTGCAGCTCAGCTCGCCCTTCGTGGGCAGAGGTGTCCAGCTGTGAGACCCCAGGCCAAAGTGCTGAGATGTAAAGATTTCTGGAAAAAACCTAATCCCAATTGACTGGCGGTTATCTGAGACTGCGAGGGAGACAGCCGGTTCTGTGGCTCCCAGCGTGGCAGGAGGTTGCCCCAGGTGTCTCTGTACCAGGCACCTGTGCTGTGAAGCTCAGAGAGCTCAGAGCAGCGGCAGGGGGTAGGTGAACTGAGCAGCACAGAGGGTCTGCTGGGGCTGACCGGGATCCGTCATCAATGGGGCAAATGCAGAAACCTGTGTCAGGATGTGGGGGAGCTGCTGGAAGCAACTTCACAAAGAAAGCTCGGTCTGCGGGGCAGGGGAAGTGAGCCACCAACAGCAGAATTCTCCGTGGCAGGTGCACAGCGCCGCTGTCCCTATGCAGATCAGCCTCACCATAAGGAGTCCTACGTGTGAGCAGATGAGGCCAGAATAGACCAGCAACATGAGACGGTCACACCAGGGGCCCACCCAACGCACTGCAGACAGAGGACCTTTACAGGCTTTCTCCTCAGCTGTCAGCTGAGCCTGCACCAGGGGGGACGTCAGGGAGGGAGGTGCACGTGGGGCCTCTCAGCATGCGGGGTGTGGGCTACAGGAAGACTAGGCCACTGTCCCTATGCAGATCAGCCTCACCATAAGGAGTCCTACGTGTGAGCAGATGAGGCCAGAATAGACCAGCAACATGAGATGGTCACACCAGGGACCCACCCAATGCACTGCAGACAGAGGACCTTTACAGGCTTTCTCCTCAGCTGTCAGCTGAGCCTGCACCAGGGGGGACGTCAGGGAGGGAGGTGCACGTGGGGCCTCTCAGCATGCGGGGTGTGGGCTACAGGAAGACTAGAGCAGGGAGCCCTGAGAAATGCAATGAGGTAAATGAGCTCCAGTGCCACAGGGACTCTCTTTCATAATGTAAATTATACTTCCATGAAGCCTCTTAGAAAAGTGAAGTTGTCCATATTTGCGGAACTTTGGGGGAATGTGCCACACGAGGGAGAGTGAAAACTATGAGAAGAATCACTGCCGCAGCCTGCAAGGGTGGTGAAGAGGAACTTTGGGGGTGTCGGCGTGCTGAGCCCCCACTCACCTCCAAAGTAGTAGGCGACCCCTGAGTAGGTCTCCACGGAGGCCGCAGTGTGGACAGTGGAGGCCACGTCCTTGTCCACCCTCATGCTCAGGTGGCTCCTGGTAGCCATCAAGGAGACAGAATGCCACCGCCCATCATTTAACCCAACACCTGGGGAATCAAATCACATCAGGTAAAAGAGACACCTGTAAGCCACAGATCTCACAAGTACTTACAAAAAGTGATAAAAAAAAAAAAAA